CATCATCTTGAGGAGAATGCTCAACTATATGAGCCTCAGCTTCCTCATCAGTAAAATCAGAGGTTTGGATTTAATGATCTCTAAGCTCCTTTCTAGCCCTTGACCTACTATCTTACAATCTCAGCCTCAAAATGTTGGGATGGAAATTTTGCTTCCATTTCCCAAATAACTTTGATGAAATAGTTACAACAAAAACAATTTAAAGTTTTGGTATTTAAGTAGATAATCTTTAGTTATCTGAAATCTTTACTCATGGGAAACATCACATTCCTCCCACCTTATTTTGCCAATTAAGTGATATGCCACTAAAACAATGGTAGATAATTTAATCTTAAAAAGCCAATAGGATTTGGAGGAAAAGGGATAACATGGTTGAAGAAGCAGGAAGAAAAATTACTCATGCAAAATAATAATAATAGCTAGCATTTATGTAGTGCCTAAGATATACAAACCACCATGTTTTACATATTTTATCTCATTTGACCCTCACAATAAGCATGGGAGATAGGTGATAATAATATCTCTGTTTTACAGTTGAAGAAATAGAGGCAAACAGAGATTAAGTGATTTTTCCCAAGGTCACATAGCTAGTAAGTATCTGAGGGCAAATTTGAACTCAGGTCTTCCTGACTCCATGCCAGGCACTCTACCCATTGCACTCCCTAGCTGATACCCAAAATTTTGCTCCATGCATGTATCACTCCAATTCATCCAAATTAAACTGATCCACCCACTATCCATATTTCCTCCTAACTTTTGTGACACTTCTTTACAAAGGCTAAATAAAAAATGTCAAGTAGCTTAGGTTCTACTGAACTATAAATGCATGGTGTTCTGTGGACAGTCATAGCACTAATAACTGGAGAGGATGGGGATCATGGTTTCATACATTCTGACCTAGAAGGGATGTCAGCAACTATCTAGTTCAATCCCTTCATTATATTAATAAGGAAACTGAGTCCCAGAGGAGTTAACTTCCTTGCCTAAGGTATACGGGCAGCAAACTTTAGAGGTGGAATTTGAACACAGGTCCTCCAATTCTAAATTCATTACTCTTTCTATTTCATCACTTTTGAAGTGAGCCAGTGATACTAAGAAGTGAATATGAGGTGGTGGTGGTAGGGTAGTAGGGAATGCATTCTGGGTACAAGGGACAGCTTGTACAAAGGCATGGAAGTGGGAGATAGGATGGGGATGTTCAATGCATGGAATAGTAAGAAGACCAGGTTGGTTGGACCATAGAGGGCATAAATGTGAAATAAGCCTGGAAAGTATGGCTGGAGCCAGAGTGGGAAGGGTTGAATGTCAGGCATTTAACCTAATGGTTATAGGGACCCACTGACATTGGGGGCAGGAGAGGGGAAAGACATGATCATTCCTAAATTATATCTTTTCCTTACACTTAGGACATTGTCCTACACATAGGAGCTACTTAGTAAAACGTGAATTTGAATTGTATAATTTCTAGCACATGAGCAGCTAGGTGGTGCAGTGGATACTACACTGAGCCTAGAGTCAGGAAGACTCATCTTCCTAGTTCAAATACAGCCTCAGACGCTTACTAGCTGTGGGATCCTAAGCAAGTCACTTAACCCTGTTTGCCTCAGTTTCTTCATCTGCATAATGAGCTGGAGAAGGGAAAGGCTACTGCAGTACATTTGCCAATAAAACCCCAAAGGGGGTCACAAAGAGTCCGACACTACTGAAAAATGACTAAAAATAACAATAATTTCCAGTACTAGTCCATGTCCACGTGGTTTACTTAATAAATACTATTAGGGTAATTATGTGCTATGATAGCAAAATGTTATAGATATGCGATTAAATTGTACCATCAACTTTTTTGAGAAAACACTCTTTAACTACGGATATATGGTAAAAAAAAAAAGTTTTTTCCACAGAAGACTAATGGTCATCCATGGTCCCTACCATGACACAAGTTGGCAATAGAAGAAGAATTCTTGATGAAAGGTGTGAGAGATAATAATTCTTTCTGAGGACAGAGTACAATGTGTTCTTGCCTTGAAGTGTGAGTGCTGGTCCCATTAGCATTTAAAAGAGAACACTTATTAGCTGAACTACTAAATGTCCTTTATATAATTTAATGAGTTTCACTGAAAAAAAAAAACCTCCAGCTCAGCTAAGAAGAAATTTAAACACTTTGCAATCATTCACAAATTCAGGCATTCTAATACCACACTTTTAAAGGTATTTTGAATCAAAGGAAGCGGAAAAGTGAGAGAGATCTTGGCAAATAAAGTGTAATTAGGGTAAAACAAGCCAATTCTAGAGGTATCTCTGATCTCATTTCTTGGAAGTCAGGGAAACTGGCTATTGTTGGCCAGATTAGACTATAATATCAGAACTGATGCCTGAGATAGCACATGCCTTTTTTCTAAAAATTAATAATTAAAGAGTAATGCTGAAAGCTATAATGCAAAAAATGCTCTGCAAATCAGCAAGATGAACATATCTACACCAGGAAAGATGATGCAAGAAACTAGGCTATTCTAGATCTTTCTACCACTATCTAAGAATCACATTAGGCATATGTCTTACGTATGACATTTATCAAATGGAAATTAATATAATGTGTTAGAATGAAATGAAACCATTATTATTAGAGTGTATTACTTTGATGATATAGTTTTCACATTAGAATTTTAATGATCATCATCTACTCTCATTTAAAATAAAACCAAATGCTAGATTCCCCTGAATTTGTATGTGGACAGCAATGAGCCTGTAAATTGTATAGACGAGAGTGCAAAAATCTTTGAGGTGAAGGATCATGTTGTATTTATCTTTGTGTATTCCATAGCATCATATTGTGTTTGTTTTAGTCCTTTTTGGTTGTGTCCGATTCTTTATGACTCCATTTGGGATTTTCTTGGCAAAAACACTGGAGTGGTTTGCCATTTCCTTCTCTAGCACATTTTACAGATGAAGAAACTGAGGCAGTGTTAAGTGACTTGCTCAGTGTCACACAGCTAGTAAGTGTCTGAGGCCAGATTCAAACTTAGGAAGATGCCTTCTTAACTCTAGGCCCAGCACTCTATCTACTGTGTCACTTAGCTGCTCCTAGCATCATGTTAGGGGTATTTAATAAACTCTTGCTGAAAGTCTGACTGAATGAAAATGATTACTTCAAAGGCTAGGTGCTAGGTATTACAGTAGAGAACACCTATTTATATAATATAGCTATGTATGCTAAAGAGAAAGAGAACCAGAAAGGAAAGGAGAGTCCTATAACTGAGACACAGAAAAAAAAAACCCAAGGAAAGAAGGAAGGGATGGAGGGAGGAATGGTAGAAGGAAGGAGGAAAGAAGGAAGAAAAGGAGGAAAGAAGGAAAGAAGGAAAGAAAAAATGCAGGAAGGGCCAAAAAGGAAGAAATAAAATAGAAAAAAGGAAAGAGTGAGAGGGAGGGTAAGAAGGAAGGAATGAGGGAGGGGAAGGGAATGAGAAGGAAGAGAGAAAAGGAAGAAATGAAATGAAGGAAATAAGGAAAGAAAGAAGGAAACAGGAGCTGTAAACTATATTAAAAAATGAATTTGGAAAATTCTCTCTTAAAGGAGAGTACTGTAAAAGTGAAAGCTGGCAGCTGGGCAAATATCTTCTGTCAAAGTATTCAGAGAGAGAACAGAAGGTTGGGGGGCACTGATATCAGCTGTGCCTCCCCAAGGTGCATGGCTGCTGCCTAGCCCTGAGATAAGTTGTCTTTGAAGTTCAACAGAATGGTCTACATAGCAAGGCCTAGAAGTACAAGTCACTAAACAGGGTCTGGAGTTTCGAGAATGCAAACTCTCAAAGATTCCAACAATGTCAGAAAAGGGCATTTGATTTTCAAAGTCTTAGGGAAATTAACACAAGTAGTGTAATCTTATTACTGGCTCTCATGAGTACAAGGACCTTATTACAGATTTTTATTCTCAGCTGCCGTGTATTGTCCCCCCATGGAGTATATGAAACCTGAAGCCAGAGGGTATTTGCCCCAAGCCCTCGGACTTTATGAAGAGGAGCTATTTTTCATTTGATTGAAGACATAATATCCCCAGGGTGTCCTTGAGAGAGGAAAGTCAGGTAATGCAAAATTGGAGGGTTACCATGCTGCCATCTGAGCTACTCTCTCTGCTGCCCTTGAACTGAGGGGTATGATGATAGTAACCAGCTTGAACATTTTACTGCATCGTAGACTTAGACCTGGGACAGTCCTTAAAGGTCACTTAGTCCAACCCCCTCATTTTAGAGATGGGGAAATTGAGGCCCAGAGAGGTTAAGTGATTTGCATTTGCACAGCTAGTAAAGGATTTGACTCCAAGTCTTCTGACTTCAAATCCAATGCTTTTCCCACAATGCCACAAGTGAGCCTTTGTGATCCATTGTCAAATCCTGGTCTATAGCTTGGGAGATATCCTTCTTTATAGTAAGTTTTGGTGTAATATTCTTTCTGCTGCCAAGGAACTCTACATCACAGGAGGAAGAAATACCAATAGATAAGGCTGCCTGTACATGAAAACTGCATTCTGTCTTCTGTGACCACTGACAGGTCATGGGTATTGCATGCCCAATGAGGATAAAGCAAAAAAGACATCCTTGAAAGCCCAACAGCCTCCCCATTCTCTTTTTTTTTCTTTCTTATAACTATCTAATCTCATATGCTTTATATGCTTTTAGATGTAAGTGACTGAATTATTAGTAACTCTGTGTCTTTCATCTTTGAGACTGACATTCTACATTTGAGGTCTCTCAGGAGGGAGAGACTATTTTAGTATTTTTTTTTTGCTTACCAAGAGAATTGCTAATGGTTTTCCTGGCCAGGGGTATCTGAGGAAGGGAGAATGGGAAGGGATAGGAACGATCTCTATAAATATTCTACCCATAATGAAGGCTTAAGCTTTCTTGCCTCTAACGAAATTCCTTCAAGGTCTACTGACAGTATCATCATACAATCCTCACATTAAGAAAAGAAGTAAAAACAGTCATAAACTTTTCCTTTACCTGTTTTGTTCTCATTTTGGAATCTGACGACAGATTGTTGTAGGTATAATGGGCTTGTGTGACACCACAAAAGAGAACGGCCACTATTCCTGAAATTCAAAGACACAAGAGTTAGCTCCTATGTTCCTGCTTCACCCAGCCTGAGCTGCGGTAATCTGCTTGGTAAGCTATTGGAGGGTGTTAAAATTTCCATAATGCTAATGCTAAGAATGGCAATAATTTTGAGAGGCATCAATGGTGTCATGGAGGGAGGAACGGCTTTAGAGTCGGGGGCCCATCTTGAAAGCCTGATGTTGCCATTTGCTGTTGGCTAGTCACTTAATCTCTCAGGGCTTCTGTTTCTTCATCTATTAAAAATAGAGAGGTTGGAATAGATGAGCTTTTTTTTCCTGGTCTTTTTTAGTTTTGAACATATGACTTTGGGAAAATAGATGATGGAAGTAAGTCCTTTCTGAGCAGATATCTCATTTTCGTCTTTATAACTCCAATGCTGGTATGGTGCCTTGCATATAGAAAGTGCTTAATAAACGTTTCGTGATTTTGATATTTGCTCTTCCTCCCTTCAACTCAGGACATTTCATCTTTTAGCTACTGAATAATCTATCAAGGATAACCAGAGAACAGGTTGGGATGGGCTGGTGTCAGTTCCATTATTTGAATGGTTTATTTGAAAAATAATGAGATAATTATTAATTAAGGTTTTGCAAAGCACTTTGTATATAAAGTCTCTCTTTATTCTTACAGAAACCCTGGGTTCTGTTGTCTCTACTTTACAGATGAGTATTAGAGAGTTTTAGAGACTTACCCAAGGTCATACAGCTAAGAAATGAAGGAGACAGAATTTGAACTTACTTTTCCTTCTTGAGACCAGCACTCTATCTTCTATGGCACCTAGCTGTCTTTGTTAGTGATACTTCAATGACTAAGGTTCTATTAATGATCATTCTTTGTATGCAAGTGAAGCCTCAAATAATTGGTGGGTTCATCCCAGACATAGGCTGGGATGCTGGCAAATACATATCCAGTTTTTATGTGCCTTCCCTCTTCCCTCCAAGGGGATAGGGTGAGAACAAATAAACAAAAACAAATGAAGAGGGGCAGCTAGGTGGCGCAGTGGACCTAGTACCAGTCCTGGAGTCAGGAGGGCCTGAGTTCAAATCCAGCCTCAGACATATAACACTTAACTAGTTGTATGACTCTGGGCAAGTCACTTAACCCCAATTGCCTCACCAAAAAAAAAAAAAATGAAGAAAAAACCTTCAATAATTCCTTTTACAGTTTCATATCCAAATTCAATTTTAACAAAAATCCATTAATTACATACTGTGTGCTTGTGCTAGGTACATGGATAGAAACAAGTTTTAGAAAAGATGTAGTACCTTCCTTCAAAGAACTGATGATGGGCACACACATGTAGATATGAATTCAATTTGATGTCATACTTTCCACAGTAAAGGTTACATAGGGGAGTATGCCATGGATTAAATAGGTTAAAAAAGTTAGGAAAGTTAGCCATAAGGGAAGAATAAAGGGGAACTTGAGATGAGAGAGAACTCAGGGCTAAGAAGAATAATCCTATGGACCAAAATAAGTCGAATAGGTAAAATTTTGATAATTCTTTAAGATTATCAAAATATCTGCCCTCAATTCTTAGACTTAGACTGATTTGTCATTAAGAATTTAAAATAACTGAATTTTATACTCTCACATATAGGCAGGAGAATTATCACATATTAACAGAGTTTTAGAGTTGGGTCACTTCTAAGACCAGCTAGTTCAATCTATACATGACCAAAAATCCTATCTATAATATCCCTGCTAAGTGGTCATTCAACCTTTGCTTAAAGACCTCAAGTGAAGGGAAACCCATTACTTACCATTTTGTGTTTAGATATTCTAAATTATTACCATAGAATTTCAACTCTCCCCCTCCCCACTCCTGCAAAGAAATCTGAAATCTGCCCCTTTGTATTCTTCCACATGATGATCCTTCTAGTACTTGAAAGACAATTATAATCACCACCCCTTTACCCCACTCACTCAGGCAAAGTGTCTCCAGTTCCATCAAGAAAGAAATCATTCTCAAAGAAAGAGGAAAGGGAACCAAAATACATGCAAAGTGGTGTGGTATGTGAATGTGTGTGTGGTGGGGTGGTTTCAGGGCGCCAGTAGCTGAGGACGTCAGGAAAGGATGTATGTAGGGACTGGCTTGAGCTAAGACTTTTAGAAATTTAAGTTTTAAGAGGCAGAGGGCATTTCAAAAATTGGGAGGACATTTGTTACCAGATTAGCTATAGACTGGCAAAGTTTTAAGCCACAGCAGCTCTCAAAGACTGTCTACAAAGTCGGTGGGAAAGTTGTGATCTGAAAGAGCTACCCACCACGAGAAAAGAATTGATCTATCCAAAATGGAATTACATCATTTAAAATGACAGCTCAAATTTCTTAAAGTTAGAAGACTAAACACCCTGAAGGTTTTCCAGAAATATGAATTCAGCTACTGTTCAAAGAGTTTTATTCTGTAAATCCTTTTGCTTCTTCTTTTTTTGTTTGCTCTCTTTTTAGGAATGCTAAACATAAAAGAAAAAGAAAATCAAAAATAATTGTAAAATTATATTTTACTCCACAAAATTTCTATTAAAAATTAACTATTTTTCTAAGTAAACTTTTAAAGTATTAAAATACTTCCAGGTCTGAAGGTATGAGGATGCTCACCATGCCTACTGTTTCTTTGGTGCATGTGACTTGACATTTAAAGAAGCTATTTGCCCATTTGTGTGTGTGTGTGTGTGTGTGTGCTGTGGCCTATTACAGTTTCTGTGTTAAACAGAACCACCTACCAATAAAGTCCTATCATCTATATGCCCATTTTAATTCTATCTTGTCATTATATTGAGCCATGAAGAAGGGTATGAGCCAGGGAAAAGACAATATTTCTTGAAAAGAAGCCAATATAGCCAAAGAAGAAAAACAGTAAGAGATTGTAAATATACTTCATCTCTGACATCAGCCCATTTCTCTCAGATTATTTGTACTGCTCTAAACCATGATTTTTAGTGTAGTAGAGTGGGATTGACCAGGAAGTCCAACACAGCAGCATAGGGACACCATGATAAGGGACAAGGAAATCCAGACTCTGCAGTGCCAGAGATATGAGTTACTCACACGCATGCCTCTCTTCCAGGGTATTTATGTATATGTTTTATTTCTACTGTTCATGTCTTGCAACCTCAGTATACATGTTTGCTCCAGAATAATTATGTCATCTGGCTGACTATTAAAAGTAAATACACTGGTGGGAGCTTGTGAGCTATAGTTTTAGGAATACAAATCCTTAAGAGTATCATGAACCTCAGGTAGCTACTTACAGCCTTCAAGTAAGATTGGATGAGAGGAGTAGGTAATAGGAGAAGTTAAAATTTTATTTCTTACAATATCACAGAAAAGCAAGCCAAAGTGTAATGCTGAGAAATAAATACTTTGAGGCAACAAGAGTATTTTTCATCATGGCACCCAAAGACATTCAGTTCTTAACACCCACGTAAGTGATTGAAAAGCACTATTATTCCTAATGTTTTAAAGGTGGGAGCTGACTTCATGAGCAACAAATTACAGACAGAGTACATGCAAACCTTTTAGTGTTTTTAACTAAATGAAACTTGAAACACTGTTGATTGAACATATTTAATGACATGCATAAAAGTTATTGTGTTAGAGAGAATTAAACATTAAGTATTGTTTACCAAAACTCTCCCTATAGCCTTCTTTTCTCCCTCATTTCCCTTGGCAATGTAATATTCAACAATATAGCTTCAACAATAACTAACCTCTGTGTAGATGTCTCTAAAGTCTTCAGTCCTGACCTTTCTCTTATTCTTCAGGGCTGCAATTCCAACAAACTCTAGGATATTCCACTTGGATGTCGCACTGGCACTTCAAAATCAACATAACTTAAGAAAATTTTTCTTCCCATCCACACTTCTCTTCCTTCTGTCAATTGCATTGTTATTAAATACCCATTTACATGGGTATGTAAAACCTGGCTTTGAATTTGACTCTCTCTCTGTCTCTCTTACTCTACAGTCTAAGGAGTTTCCAAATCTTGTGCATTCTGACTCTATAAGGTCTCATATCTGTTCTCTCCTTTCCACTTCTATTGCTACTGCCCTTATACAAGTCCTTAGGATATCTTGTCTAGACTATTGCCAAGGTCTCTTTGGCTTGTCTTTCCACCTCCAGGACATAACTGCTCTGATCCCTATGAGGCTAGATTAATCTGCTTGATACAGAGGTCTCATCATGGCCATCTGCCCAAAACTGTTCCACAGATGGGAATCATAGAATGTTAGTGCCAAAGGGCTCATGGAGTTGATCTAATCCACCCCCTTCATTTTAAAGATAAGACAACTAAGTGTCTAAAAGCTCCCACCAGTCACACAGTTAGTTATGGAGGTTCTTGATATTAAGTAGGGTAAAATCCCCCAGGACTATTTTTTTTTCAAACTTTTAATTGTGAATATCTAGATAGAGAAACATGCTGCATTTTGGTCATGATGATAGATTCACTGGGGGAAGATTTGGGGCCAAACCTGGAAAAGAACTGCGCAGAGAGGAATGTGAGGGTTGTAATCTTCTTGGTGGAGGGAATATCTTAGATTTTCCACATAACAGTTCTTTCAAAGTATCCAAGAGTCATGAATGTGAGTAGAATTTTGTCCAAAGCCTTTACTATATTTATTGACATTATCACATCATTGTCCATCATTTCTATGCTTGATGCGATGCATTCATTTGCTAACATTCTACTCCTTAGTGAAAGAGTGTCATAGATCAGCATGGTATGGTGGCTAGAGTACTGATATCAGGAAGACTGATATTCAAATCCTGCTTCAGAGACTTGCTAGCTATGTGATGCTGGATAAATCTCTTAGCTTTTCTCAGCCTCAGATTCCTCATCTATAAAGTGGAGGATGTGAATTGTGCTTCCAATAGAGTTCTTTGAGGGCAGGGACGGTTTTTTGCCTCTTTTTGTATCCCAAGTGTTTAGGCACAGTGCCTGGCTCGATATTGATTGACTGACCACTTCAAA